ACCCCGAGCCTGCGAGGCCGGAGCCCGGAGCTCCCCCCACCCCCGCAGCCGGGTCCCGGCCGCCCCGGGGAGGCTGCGGCAACCCCCGGGGGGGGGCTGGGGATGAGCAGACACCGTCCCCCCCCGCCTCCCCCGACAGGCAGACGGAGTCTCCTGGAGGAGGGGGGGGGGGAAAAAAAAACCACACACACCCCCCAAAAGCACCAACCCAAGCCCACCCGCATTCCCCCGCTTTCCCTCGGTTCAATTAACACTGTCAAGTTCGGATTAAAAAAGAAATCGGGGTTTTCTCGGCTCCTTCGCCCCCCCCCGGCCCCACAGCACACCTCCAGCCCCTGCCTTGGAGGAGCAGGGAAGGGCGGTGCTGCCTTCGGATCTCTCCAGAAACGAAAGTAACCCTCCGGCCAGCTCCAGCTCCCACTCCCCGCCTGCATTTTCAGCCCTAACCCGGAATAAAGTTCCTTTGCCCCCCCCCTTCTTTGTCCTTTTCCATTCCCTTCCTCTTCTCTTTTGCCTGCCCAAGTTCTTTCTCTCTTTCTTTTGTTCCTTCTTCACCCCTCCTTTCCTTAAAAAAAAAAAAAAAAAAAAAAGAGGGAAAAAAATTGTACACAATAGCTTGAATGACTCTAAAGCAGACTCTCTGAAGAGGCTGCAAAATATTTCCCGATCCCCCAGATGCTTCTGTGTATTCCAGGATTGTCTCTTAAAGTAAATAAATATGGGGAAAGATTAATTTCAGGCCAAATACCATCCCTGAATCTTGCAGCAGCGCGAACGCAGGCTATAGGCTTTGCCTTCCCCCCCACCCCCCCTCCGCTAAATTCTTTGACTCCTTGAAAATCATATTTATTCAGGCTTCCTTAAAAGTGATCATATAGGAAAAGCTCCCCAGGACAACAATTGGCCGCTGGAACTTGCAGGCACATCGCTCTGTACCAACGTGAAAACCTCAGTCTCAGCCAATATGGGAGTCATAGCTAAGGCGAAGAAAATGAGCATTCAGCTTAAAATGACACTGCAGGAGTTTTTTACCTGCTTAAGTGCTTCCCCCCCACCCACACCCCCCCTCTGTTTGTTGCTAAGAAT